CCCGCGTACTGGAGGCGAGGCTCTCGCTCCTGAAGTTCACCTGCACCGTCGCCGCCTTCCTGGCCTTCCTCTGCGTCCTGCCGTGCCTCCTGCTGCTCTACACGGGTGAGTTGGGCGCCTTCTCCTCTCTTTTATTTGCCTCTCTGGCTTTCTCTCTCGTCTTCCTTGTCTCTCTATCTCTCTGTCTGTCTCTCGTCTTCCTTGATTCTCTGTCTGTCTGTCTATCTTTCTCGTCTTCCTTGTCTCTCTGTCTGTTTCTCTCGTCTTCTTTGTCTATCTGTCTGTCTTGTCTTCCCTGTCTCTGTGTCTGTCTGTTTATTTCTTTCATTACTTTGTCTCTGTCTGTCTGTCTGTCTATCTCTTTTCTCTCGGTCTCTCTGTCTGTCCGTCTCTCTCGTCTTCCTTGTCTCTGTCTGTCTATCTCTCTCTCTCTTTGCTTTGCCTCTCTGTCTGTCTGTCTATCTCTCTCGCATTCTTTTTTTCTCTCTCAATCCCTTCTCTTCGCTCTTTCCTTTTCTTTCCTTTGTCTCTATATCGCCTTTTCATGGTTTTCTCTATTGCCCCTTTAAACCTTTTGCATTTCCTCTTTTTTGTTTTCCGTTGATTTTATACTTTGTTATGCCTTCTTTCACTCCTTCTCTTTCTTTCTTCCCCTCTCTCTCTCTCTCCCTCCCTTCCCCTCTCTGTCTGTCTGTCTGTCTGTCTGTCTCTCTCTCTCTCTCTCTCAATCTCCTCCTCCTCCTCTTCCCTATTATACTCTCTTCTCTATCTCTTCATTTCCCTCCCTGTCCTCCTTCCGCTCCCCCTCTCCCCCTTCCCCCTCTTTCACTTCACTTCACTTCTCTCTTCACCCTCCACCTCCCCACTCATCCCTCTCTCTCGCTTTCTTTTCCCTCCCTGCCCCGCCTTCCGTCCCTCCCCCTCTCTCCCTTCCCTCCCTCTTCCCCTCTTTCACTCCCCCCCCACTCTTCCTTCTACCCCCCCTTTTTTCACCCCTCCCCCCCTCTTCCTCTCTCTCTCTTTATTTCCCTCCCTCTACCCTCTCTTCACACCCCTCCCCCCTACTCTTCCCTCTCTTCACCCCCCACTCTTCCCTCTCTCTCTCTTTATTTCCCTCCCTGCCCCCCTTACGTCCCTCCCCTCTCCCCCTTCTCTCCCTCTTCCCCTCTCTTCACCCCCCCCCTCTTCCCTCTCTCCCTATAACCTCGAAATCTCTCCCACTCCCCAGGTATCAAATGCTGGCGTCTTGCCGTGGGCGTCTGGGCGGTGCGGGCGTGCGAGGGCGTGGAGGAGGTGACGGGTGTGACTGTACGGGCGGCGATGGAGGGCCCCACTGATCCTGGCGCCGAGAGCTTGCTGCTGTGCCTGGCGGGGGAGCCTCACGTGACACTCCTGAGGTCCCGGATATTGGTAGGTGTCGAAGGGAGAATTTTACTTTAAAGGGGAATTAATCGATCATCGGGTCTGATATCTTTGTGTTGCTGGTCGTCTGATAAGGATGATAAAGACGATGATAATGATGATGACAACGGCAACAATGATACTCATGATGATGATTGAAACAACCACGGCAATGATGATGATAATTCAAATAATTATAGCGATATTAAACAACAGAAACAGTAATCTTTATGATAGTAATGATAATTAGAATATAACAACTACAACTGCTTTAATAACAATGATAATGATGATAATGATAATAACTATGAATAATGATAATATTAATGATAATTAATAATGACGATATATAATTACCTTTATATTATGATAACAGTGATAATGATAAAAATAGGATGTTATAATAATAATAAAATGAAAATAAAGAATGAATGATGGTATAAGTAATGATGATGGTGAAAAAAATATTGTTTACAGTGCTAATGATAGTAATAATAAAAATGTAATAATAATAATAATGATGATAATAATAATGCTCATAGTAATAATGATAACAACAATGATGAAATAATAATAATAATGAAAAAATTGAAAATCCTAATCTGATAATGATAACAATGATAACATTAACAACCGCAACAATAACAAGAATAATAACAATAATAATGATAATAATGATCTTGATATTAATAATGATCTTGATAATTAATAATGATAATGATGATGATAATGAAGATGACAACAATAATGATAATCATCATTAACATTACAATTATCATATGCTGATAATTGATAATAACGGTAACGTTTTTGGAAATGATGGTAAATATCATAATGGTTATAATGATAATACTAATGAATTCCCAATAATTATGATAATAATAACTAGTAATTCCAATGATTATGTTGACAATAATAATGACAGTAATGATGATTAATGAATCATAAAACGATGAAAACGGGAATTGATAAGTATGAATGAGTGAATAATGATAATGATAGCCAAAATCTCTACGGTAAATGACAACCAACAGCAATAAAAAAAAAAGATTAAAGTAATAACAATACTATAGAGAGAAATAATTATCATCATTTTCATCTGAATTGGCAACCGTTTGTGTGACGGATATTAAAAACTTTGTCCTTAATAAGTCCCGTTTTCATCAACTACAAGATAAAATGTTTATCCTTGTTACTTATTAACTGCGTAGTTTTACATGGCCCGCAACGAGTTATAACTGTGCGTAGAGTGGTCTCTGTCCTGTCTGTCTTGTCTGTCTCTCTCTCTCTCTCTCTCTCTCTCTCTCTCTCTCTCTCTCTCTCTCTCTCTCTCTCTCTCTCTCTCTCGTCTCTCGGATCTCTCTCTTCTTCTCTCTTCTCTCTTCTCCTCCCTCCTCTCTCTCTCTCTCTCTCTCTCTCTCACTCTCCTCTTCCTCTCTCTCTCTCTCACTCTCCTCTCTCTCTCTCTCTTCTCTCGTCTCTTCTCTCTCTTCTCTCTCTCTTCTCCTCCTCTCTCCTCTCTCTCTCCCTTTTCTCTCTCTCTCTCTCTGTCCTGTCCTGGTCTGTCCCCTTCTCGCTCTCTCCTCTCTCTCTCTCCCTCTCTCTCTCTCTCTCTCTCTCCGCTCTCTGTTGCTCTTCGTTGTTATCAGGAAGAGTGGCAAACCGTCCAATTTGAATGCAACATAAGTCATGTGAGGCATACGATATGCAAGATAATTTGTAGTAAGGGTTAAATGGCAACGCCATAATTCGAAATGATTGATGGTATGTCATTGATTTGTTTGGATGATCGGGGGTAGTGGTTCCATTAGAGAAGAGTTGAGAGGAAGTGAACGCGGTGTGAAGCAATTTCGTGTGATTTATAGATGTAGGTTCCACAACACAACCATCAAGTTGGGAATGACAATACATCATCCTTCCAACCAACATATGTACGCACAAGGCACACAATAACATGATAGACAGTGAATGGGGGCAATATGCTTAATTAAAAGTATTCATAGTGAAATGGGTCATGTGCGTACCGAATCGCTTTACACAAAAATCACCAATGTCATGGGAAAACACAGGGATGGGGGAGGGAATAAGGTTATGCATGTACATCCGTATTGGGAGATACACCATAAATGTGAAATTTTTGGATTAGCTTAGCAATTTGTAAAAAAATTGTTTTGAAAATGTGACACAGTGATTCAATAATCGCAAGATGGCAATCATATATAGTGGGGAATGAAATGGAAAAAAAACCATATGGCATATAATCAAATCAAAGTATAATGAAAATATACAAATGACAATAGACATGATTAATCTATTGAAATTTCAATGTCATACAAAAATGGGGGGTGAAACTATAAGAGTATATATGAAACTCATCAAATTGTTCAATATTGGGTGTATTCAAGTACAACACATCACATCAGTACATAGTAATGCATACCATGAAACAACAAGCAATCACATACCATAGATTATTATGCATATTGAGAAAAAAAGACTGGAGTTAATCATTTTCATATAGATATAAAAAAGAAATCATAACATTTGATTTTTCACTAGCAACAATACATGAAGGCAATCCAAGAAAAATAGTATGTATCAAATTAGAGAGAGAACAGTGTTATCATCAGAAGGAAAATATCAACGCAAGTACAGACATGGTGATGGTTGTGCAACCAATTTATATGCAGAAAAAGTATAATCAAGAATCAGAAAAAAAAAATGAATAAAAATACATACATAAGAATTATCAAGTGAAAGGATAACAGCATTCATATTATCACCATAATCATAAGATGAATAACAAACACCAGCATTCAGTTATTCCATTGGGCTTTAGCCACATTATGTTATATTAGTGATATAATTAACGATGGATACTGATAAAACCAACAAATTCAATAGACGCGTGAGCAGAATCATCAAAAGCATATTGGTAAATTCCAGATAAGACAAATGAAATGATTACCCATGTAATTATAGTTCAAAATGAGCCATACGCGAGGATTTGGTCATGGAATCTTGTTGTGCACAATCATTGATGGACAAATTGTGTTTGTTTCATACAGATCAACATACACACATTGAATTGCGTAATCATAGCTTGATATTAATCAATAGGCAAGATCTACATAATGATCAGTATATGCAATAATAGACAAAAGATGAGTACAAATTCCAAAGTTGGGGGAAGCCGGGCACTACGACCTAGGGGTGCCCAAACTCAAAAACCCTTTGGTGTGCCAATTTCTCTCCAGCTGTTATCTTGAGGGCCGACAAAGGTTTATATAAGTACCTGGTTTATTAGGATGACGTTCCTAATTACACTTATATGTCCTTGCACGTAAAGTTTATTTATTTCATCAGATTTTTAAATACTGAATACGAAATGGTAAAACAGATTGTATATGGCGTTATTTTCCTTCATAGCGATCAGGAAAATGTTTCACATGCTAATCATTCATGTCACCCCGTGGGCCATTGAAGATCATTCCAGGGGACTCATGGACGGACCATGAGTATGACACCCCAGGGCTCTTTCATTCATTAAAAAATAATGATAGAAAACTGTTAATGATAAATCTTAAAGACAAAAGGATTCGCTTACTTAAAGAATTGTAAAACGGGGGCCGACCAGCTATGGCTGAAATGGTGCCAGAACCTCGATTCTCCCTCTCTTCTCTCTATCTCTTCTCTCCTCTCCTTATATATAATATATCGTTCTCTCTCTCTCTGCTATCTTAATCAAAAGATATTTAACTTTGGGGTGAAAGATTTGATTATATTTTAGTTATCGTTTGTCCATTGGTTCTAAATACTTTTATTCATCATAAACCCATTTAAGCATCAAATATATATTTATCCGTCATGGTAATGATTATCACCACCGTCACTATTACCATCATCACCACCCATGATCCCTGCCACGCCATCCGCGCTCCACCATTCCATCACCACCTTGTCGACATCCTCTCCCTCTCTATCTCTCTCTTCTCTCCTCTCTCTTCTCTCTCTCTCCCTCTCTCTCTCTCTTCTCTCTCTCTCTCTCTCTCCTCTCTCTCTCTCTCTCTCTCTCTCTCTCTCTTCTCTCTCTCTTCTCTCTCTCCCATTTATACTTTCTCTCTCTCTTCATTCCTCCCTGTCCCGCTTTCCGTTCCTCCCCTCTCCCCTTCCCTCCCTCTTCCCCTCTCTTCAACCACCTCATCGCCGTCTTCTCCCGCTCTCCTACTCAGGAGGAAGTCGTCAACCGCAGGGATTCCTCGGGACAACTTCTCCACCCGAACTTCCGCCGCCGACTCGTGCAGGTGGGCGGGTACTACGCGTGGCGATCTCACGCCCACTTTGACATCGAGAAGCACGTTGTCCTGGCGCCACATCACCACCGCGGGCGGCTGCTCACGGCGAGGAATATCCAGGTGGGGTTTGAGGGTGGGGAAGGGGGGAAGGGGGGAAGGGGGGTTGGGTTTGTTTAGTTGGGTGGGTTATAGAATTGGGGTTGAGAGGTGGGGGAGTGGGCAGAGACGGGAGGGGAGAGGGCAGGGGTTTGGTAGTTTGGGTGGCTATGGAGGTGTGGTAGAGGGGGAGGAGAGAGGAGTAGGTTGTGTAGTTTGGGTGGGAATGGAGTGGACAGAGGGAGGGGGGGGTGGGGTTTGTAGTTGGTGGGTATGGTGGGTGGAGGGTGCAGTGGTTGGAGGACAGAGGGGGAGGGGGGGGGTTTGTAGTGGGTGGGTATGGTGGGTGGTTGTAGTTGGGTGCAGAGTTTTGTAGTTGGAGGACAGAGGGGGAAAGGGGGGGGTGGAGTGTGTAGTTGGTGGAGGAGTGGACCAGAGTGGAGGGTGAGTTGTAAGGAGTGGAGGGTGAGTAGTGGGTGGGTTCGAGGAGCAGAGAGAGTAATTAAGAGATGGTCTGAAAAGAGAAAATAGGGAGAGAGAGAGAGAGAGACAGAGAGAGAGAGAGAAAGAAGATAGGAAGTAGAAGAGAGAGAGAGAGAGAGAGAGAGAGAGAAGAGAAGAGAAGAGAGAGAGAGAGAGAGAGAGAGAGAGAGAGGAGGAAGAGAGAGAGAGAGAGAGACGAGAGGGAGAGAGCAGACAGAGACAGACAGACAGACAAAGAGAATGTTTTCGCAGTCCGTTCTGATTGATAAACTTGTATAACCTCCTTGACGATCTCGCTGACCAGCTTTTGATAGCAAATGCTATCTCTGACATGGCCACCGCGCTGCTGAATCGGTTACTATAGAGAACTGGAGTAAACACTTGACAGATACTGAATGATATGATATGTTGTGCGTGGGTGCAATTCTGTTTGTGTTATTTTTACCTGCGAAGTAAAAGTGTTTATCAGTAGATGTGCAATATAAGTTTAAACATTAATTGCCACGTTGCAATTAAATGTCTAATTAGACAGAATATGTATAAACAGATGATGAGTTAACAATATTTTAATAATAACTGCTTAAAGAAGAAATATGGGAGACCCAGTAGGAATTAACACCAGCTATAGTCTCCCTCATGAGCGTGAGCGAGCGCACGCTAACGGCCTGTCCCCGCAGGAGTACGTGAGCGAGGTGATCAGCGAGGACCTGCCGGAGGATCTCCCTCCGTGGCGCGTGACGGTGGTGCGGGCGAGCGCGGGCGACGGCGAGGGGCGCACGTGGGTGGTGTGCCGCGCCCACCACCTGCTGGCGGGGCAGCTGTCGCTTCCGGACCTGCTGGTGACGGCCTACCCCGACCCCTGGCAGCACCCGGCCACGCGCAGCCTCACGCTCCTCGCCGCGCCGGCCGCCACGCGCACCTTCCTCGACATGGTCGTCCGGGCGGGCGCCGAGGCGGCCGCTCGCGGCGCCCAGGCCCTGGAGGCGTGGTGGGCGGAGCGGCGCTCGAGGGTGCTGGCCCCCGTGCTCGCGCTCCTGAAGGAGGCCCTGAAGGAGGCGAAGGTCCCCGCGGAGGAGGTGCCGCAGGCCAAGGTGGCGCGCTCGGTCGAGGTCCTGCTGGGCCTCGTCCAGGCGCTGTGGCGCGAGGGGGCGGAGCGCCTCGACGCCGGCTGGGCGACCCTCAGCGCCCTCCTGCACGTGGAGCCCGCCTTCCACGGCCTGGTCGCGTGCCTGGCGTGGGCGGCGGCCGTGTGGTGGCGGGTGGCGCTGTGGTGGCTGTGGACGCCCGTGGCGACGTGGAGGGTGGGCCGGAGGGCGTGGCGGTGGGCGCAGGCGGCGCGGGCGAGCGAGGAGTGGCGCGTGACGAAGGCCGCGCTGGTCGAGGTCTACTGGATGGTCCGCGCCTTCGTCACGCTGCCGCGCCTGGTGCTGGAGGAGGCGCTGACGGTGCGCGGGGTCACGCCCCTCATGGGCTGGGTGGGCCGGCGCCAGAGGACGCTGTCCATGCGGGGCCTGGGCCGCACGGGGGGCCTGGTGGTGGCGTGGAGCGACCCCGTGCCGCTGAGCACGGCGCGCGGCGTGCGGGGCGCCACGGGGGCCACGCTCAGCGAGGTGCTGCTCACGGCGTCCTCGGGGGCCGTGCGCGACTACCTGCGCGTGACAGGCCTGTCCGTGCCCGAGGAGGTGTGCTGCACCGTGCCCGTGTACTCGCGGCGCTGGGCGGAGAGCCGCGGCGCCGTGCAGACGCCTGGCCTGGTCACCCTGGCCCTTCCCACGGGCGCCACGGACTCCTCCACGGCGCTGCAGATGGTGCAGCGCTCCATGGAAAACATCCGGCGCTACCCCGAGCGCTACCTGGCGTCCGTGTGGCTCCTCAGGAACGTGTCTTACTTCCTGCCGGAGTCGCTTCTCGGCGCCACCTTCCGCGCCCTCTCCGTCAGGTACCCCGTGCTCATGTCCAACCTGGCGGGGCCCTCCAGCACCGTCAGGGTCTGGGGGCACGACCTGCTCAACATCTTCTACTGGAGACCGCCTCAGGCAGGAGCAGGTGAGGCCCTTCCTCTGGTGCGAACAATTATGTAGAAAATATAATCCATTCCATTGCAAGAAATATATGCTATTGTAGTCATTACGTCTTTTTATGAGTGGGTTCTACAGTAAATATCTTTTAATAAACAGTCAAATGGCAGTGCTTTGAAATAATACTTCGATGGAAATATATCACATAATGCAATTCAATATATCCCCCAAAACTGTCTATTTTCCAGACACCTTTCATTCGTCCCTTCTAACCGCCTTCTCACGCCCACAGTCTTGTCAGTGTGCGTAGCCTCATACCAAGGGCGGGCGTATTTGGGCGTAGTGGCGGACGGGCGTGTGGTGCCCAACCCAGCCACCCTTCCGCAGGCCTTCGTCACCCACCTCAATGAACTGGCAGTGGACAAAGGTGTCAGGCTGTAGGTACTGTATGTGAGAGAGTGTAAGTGTATGGTTGGGAGGTATGTGCATAGGTGTATATATTTGAGTGAGCGAGAGCCTTGTGTATGTGTGTGTGTGTGAGTGAGAGAGAGAGAGAGAGAGAGAGAGAAGAGAAGAGAGAGAGAGAGAGAGAGAGAGAGAGAGAGAGAGAGAGAGAGAGAGAGAGAGAGAGAGAAGAGAGAGAGAGAGAGAGAGAGATAGTTTCTATGTGAGTTTTATGACCGAATGTGTATATTTACTGATATATCCATCTATCTCATGTGTATTTTAAAAATACAATTTCCTTTGTTCCGCCACATAAAAACAGAAATACAAAAAAGAGAATCCGTGTTAACTCCCCTCTGCTTCCCCAGCGAGCGTCAGTTCAGCCGCAGTTGGTCTCGAAGCAGCTCCCCGGGCGCGACGCCCACGCCCACGCCCCCGCCGACCCCCACTTCTCCTCAGAGGGCGACCACTTTCTTCTCGCCTTGGAACAAGCACAAGAAGCCCCCGACGCGCCCTACAAGGAGACAGTCTTCGGTGTTTTGAAGGCCGTCTGCCTGCTGTTCCCTTTTGAAGGTCAACTTCCTTCAGAGAGGCTTCTGACACCCCCCCCCCCACCACGCTCTCCCGCTCTGTAAAGGTCTTACTTGCTGTAACAGAGATTGACAGTGCCGGGTATGGACATTGAAGCTGCATTTCTGTTTATGATTATTGCCTGAGAGAAGAAATTACAGCCTGTGCACTTTACGAGTAAATGTAGTGTCTGGGAGGCGTTGCGAGGGGAGTGGCATCCGGGCACCCCATTCCGCTCGAGGGGGCGGGTCTGAGGAGTGGGAAGTCCAGTCTTGGCATCTGCTGAACACGAACTCCCAGGGCACGCCTTGGCCGAGGCGCGAGGTCGGGTCCATCGCTTCCTTCCACGATATGTACTCGCACTCATCTCGCGCCTGAGTCCGTGGCGTGGGTCGAGATGCTGTTTTGAATTTGTATTAAATTGTGGCTTCAGTGCCTTACGTCTTCTTATCAGAAGTGGAAGTCCCACTGGGATTATGTGAGGACCTCCACTGAACTGATGAGGAAAACTTATATTTCGCTCCTTTATTAAAGGGAGTCTAAGAAACCAGCGACACGATGACCAGCCCTGCAGGAAAAGGCTGGAGACCTCTGGTCAATGAGCTAAGCCGTATTACTAGTTGCATACTCTCACATAGTTTCAAGATTCAATTTTGATATGAATTTCACGACTAAATGATAGATAAATATTCA